GTGAAAAGGCACAAGAAGTACTAAATCCAAGACACAACTCAACAAAGACGAAGCAAAATAAGACAACAAGCAAAACAACACCAATCACAAAAAAAGGAGAAGAAACAACACTACAGAAAAGATAACAATAAAAGCACACAGAAAAACCAACATCAATTGAAGCTAGAACTCTCTGATTCAAATGCACCTATAAGAGCAATAAAACCACAGAAAACACAACAAGAGCACATATAATGAAGGTAGAAATCACTCACCCCTATTAATTTAGTTACAAGGTAGGATTCTCAAGCCAGGCCAAGAAGGTAAAAGAGTTTTCCACAAACCTACCAAGATACCATTTTCGTGCCAATAAGATGCACATGTCTTCCACATCTTTTGATGTCACTGAAGAATCAGAAAAGACTATATCAATCCTAGATTTCCAAATAGACCAAACCACGACATGTCAAACCATCCTCAAACCCTAAAAACTCCGATCAAAGAGCTAAACATCTGAAAATGATCAAAATGTCACTAAAACAAATAAATATCTTGATTCACACTCCCCTATTTTAAGATTGAGTAATATTCTAACAACAAACAAATGAAATTTATTTTCAAGATTATAATTTTCTCCATTCATTTACTTTTATTTTAGCCTTGTAACAAAAAAACACATTTATAAATTTCTAACAAAAATTTCTACGAATTTTAAAATATCACGAATTAAAACATATATTTTATTATTTAATCTCTCTCATTTTTATTTTTTATTATTAATTAATTGTATTTTTTATATCGATTCACATTTATCAAATACTTTAATAATTAATTTTATTAAATATTATAAATTCAATCAACTAATTAACACTCTATAAGAGTTATAAATTTTGAAACGGATTAAGAAACATAATTAATTGAAAGCAAAAAAAAAAAGAAACATAATTAATTTCTATAAAAAAAAAGAAACATAATTAATTTTATATAAAAAAGAAATTATGTATGCTTTTATTATAAAAAATGGTAATAAATAATAGAAAATATATTATAAAAAATATTATTAATGTTGACTAAAATAATAAAGTGGCTTCTAATAAAAAAATAAATAACAAAATAATTTATAATTTAAGACTTTTTTTTATTATATAAAATAAGTTATAATTTTAAGATGAAAGAAGTAACTTATTAATTATCATTTTAAGATCATCTACCATAAACCATTTTCTTTGCTCCTTAGTATAAACACATCTCATTTTTCTTTACTTTTATAAAACATAATTAACAAATTTGATATGTTTATTTATATATTTTCCTTTTTAAAATATACTTTTTTTTATATTTATTTGTATTATTTTAATTTTTTTGTATTCCAAAATAAGCAATAGTATTAATATAGTGCATTTTGGAAAAAATAATAAATATATCAAACAAATTGAATTGAATATAATTTTACACTATCTTCTAATAAAAAATCATTATCATTTACTATATAGGAGTAATACAATTAATTCTAAAATATTTAAATGATTTGACTGAATAAATGTCACATATACAATTATTTTTAGTAAAATTATTTTACTATATACGAGAATCTCTGCAGAAAATTATTGTTTTTCTTTCTTTCTTTCATATTTTTCATTGTCATTGTGTGGTGATAACAATCTTGTTCGTCAAAATTGATCGAAATTCATCATAGATTTTGGTGGATTTCCAACATATAGTATAAGAGTCTAGTTTCCTCTACCAGTTGAATTATTGTAGTCACATCTATCTTTGTTGTCGAACCACTTTCATGAGATTCAAGCATCACTTGTAGCAACCTCTATCTTTCAATACAACTGAAACATTGAAAGATTCAAAGTGGGTGAAAGCAATGAATGAAGAAGTAAAGTCCATCGAAGACAACAACACTTGGTCATTTGTCGAATTACCTCAAGGCAAGAAGGAAATTGATGTCATGTGTGTGTGTGTACAAGGTGAAGTTGAATCCCAAAGGATAAGTAACTCGACAGAAAGAAAGACTTGTGGCGAAAGGATTTCTTCAGAAGGAAGAATTGATTTTGATGAAATTTTTGCACCTGTGGCTAGAATCGAAACAATCAGGTTGGTTATTGGTCTAGCAGAAATAAACAGTTGACACATATGTCTTATGAACGTGAAGTGTGCATTCCTGAATGGACCCTTATATGAATAAGTCTATGTTGCACAACCAGTTGAGTTTGTGAAGCATGGCGAAGATAGAAAGGTGTACATGTTGCATAAAACCCTGTATGAATTGAAATAAGCTCTAAGAGCTTGGAAAAATAATATTGATAGTTTCTTAAGGGATAAGGAATTTGTGAAGTACACAACTGAACATAAAGCATATGTAAGAAGAAGCAATAGTGAATTACTTATATTATGTCTCTATGTCGATGACTTGTTAATAACAGGTAGTTGCAAGAAGGAGATCAAAGACTTCAAAGGCGATCTCAGTAAGGAATTCGAAATGTCTAATCTGACTGACATTTCATATTTCCTTGGCATCAAGTTCTACAAGAGTAGTAGAGGTTTGATGATGCATTAGAAATTCTCAAGAGATTTGAGATGAAAGAATGCAACTCGACATCGACACCTGCTAAACCAAAGTTGCAATTGTCGAAATATTCAGATAAAGATGATGTCGACCCAACCTAATACAAAAGACTTATTGAGTCATTAAGATACCTTTGTCACACAAGGCCTGACTTAGCATACAATGTAGATATGGTGAGTAGATTCATGTAGAAGTCAAATGTATCACATCTAGCAGCGACGAAGAGGATATTGAGGTATCTGAAAGGAACTATTGACTATGACATTTTATTTCCTGCAGCTGATAAAGGAAAAGAATGCAAGTTAGCTGGATATACTAATTCAAGTTGGTGTAGTGATGCCGAGGATCGAAAGTCCACAGTAGGATATATGTTTATGCTAGGTGGTGCACGAGTTGCTTGGATTTCAAGAAAGGAACTAGTAGTGGCATTATCATCATGCAAAGCAGAGTACATATCTGTTTCTCTTTGTGCATGTTAAGCCACATGGATGGTGAACTTGGTCGAAGAGATTATAGGTAAAGATTATGGAGCAATTATCATGAAGATCGACAACATGTCATCTATCAACTTATCGAAAAATCCGATAGCACTTGGTCGAAGCAAGCACATTGAAATGAGGTTCCATTATCTCCGAGAGCAAGTAACAGATGAAAAGATGAACTTGGAACACTGCCGAACTGAGAATCAGATTGCAAACATCATGACAAAAGGAGTGCAGGTCAAAGTGTTCAGAAGACTAAGAGTTATGATGAATATAGATAGCTTAGACACAATGAAATAAGTGGTATGTTAAAAGTATAATTTCTTGTGTCGAAGCAGCTTGCTCGATAAAAAAACAAGGAGGTGTCGAAAAGATTGTGTCAAAGTGTGGAAATAATTTGTTATACACAAATTTGATTTAGGTCTAAAATATATAGATTTGATTTAGATCCAAAATATGTATTTTGGACTTTTGTGTTTTGTGCTTTGATTTACAGAGCAAACTAACCTAAATCTATAAATAGAGGGAGTAACTCCTATTTTTGTAATCAAGTTGTATTCATAAAATTTACAGTTGCAAGTGAATAAGAAGTTTTCTACAGTTTGTGGACATAGAGAAACTCTACAAAAAATCATTGTCTTTTTTTCCCCATATTTTTCATTGTCATTGTGTGGTGATAACAATATTGTTCATCAAAATTGATGAAATTCATTATAAAATTTAATGAATTTTCAACAATTTTGAGATTGAGTAATATCTCAACAACATACAAATGAACTTTATTTTCAAAATTATAGTTTTCTCCTCTCATTTTCTTTTATTTTAGCCTTGTAACAAAAGAAAACACATTTATAAATTTGTAGCAGAATATTAGCTAATAATCTTATATGACAAAATATAAATAACAATTTTTTTTACGAATTTTAAAATATCACGAATTAAAACATATAGTATTTTATTATTTTATCTATCTCATTTTTATATTTTATTATTAATTAATTATATTTACTATATTAATTCACATTTATCAAATACTTTAATAATTAATTTTATTAAATATTACAAGTTCAATGAACTAATTAATACTCTATAAGAGTTATAAATTTTTAAACGGATTAAAAAACATAATTAACTGAAAGCAAAAAAAAAAAGAAAAAGAAACATAATTAATTTCTATAAAAAAAGAAATATAATTAATTTTATATAAATAAATAAATTATGTATGATTTTATTATAAAAAACAATAATAAATAATATAAAAAATATTATAAAAAATATTATTAATATTGTACTAAAATAAAGGGGCTTCTAATAAAAAAATAAATCACAAAAGACATTTTTTTATATAAAATAACTTATAATTTTAAGCCTAAGGAAGTAACTTATTAATTATCATTTTGAGATCATCTACCATAAACCATTTTCTTTGCTCCTCAGTATACACACATCTCATTTTTCTTTACTTATATGAAACATAATTAACAAATTTCACATATCATTTATTTACACGCAACCTATTTTTAGTAATGATAATTTTACTTTGATCCGGCATTGAAGTAAATACAATCTGCATTGAAAGTCCCTTAATTATTCTTGATTACAGTAATCATTCTTATCGCGAAGAACTTAAACGATCTTTGTCATGATAAGCAACAAAAATTGGGAATTTCCAAAACCACGCGCTAATTCCATTTTGTGGAGTATTTACAGTATAGTACGTATTTATTTATTAAAAGAATATAAAAAAAACCTTTTGAAATTTCGAAGTGCCTTTTCTTTCTCTCCCACCATTCTCATACGGTTACCTTCTCAGAAAATGGGTTGATACTTTCCTACTTAAAAGCCAACTCTCTCACCCATTTTCCTCTCAACCACATCCAAAGTCTCTTGAATCTTCCTCTTTACTCAAAAACACTCTCTCTCTCTATATCTATCTATCTATCTTGTAACCGCTTTTCATCACAATGTCTCGCCGCGGTGGAGGAAACCATCCCGATAATCGCCGGAATCAACCACCACATTCTCAACAACCTTCCGTCAATGCTGCAGGATCAGGTCGTGGCGGTGGACGCGGCTCGCGCGGTGGACGCACCACCGCTCCTCCTCCGTCGTATGCTTCGGCGCCGGTTACGCCTGCTCCATTTGTTGCCGCGCCGGTCGTACGACCATCTGTTGTAGCGCCGGTTGCTAATCCGTCTGTTACGGCTCCCGTTGCTTCATCGAGTTCGGCGCAGAATCTCCCGTCGCCGGCGACGGTTTCCACTGAGACGTTGACTAGCGATCTTAAACAGAAAGCTACTCTACAGTCGGCTCCATCGTCTCAGAAGGCGGTTAGGTTTCCTAACCGACCTGATTACGGTCGATTGGGGAGAAAAATTCAAGTTCGTGCTAATCATTTTCAGTTGCAAGTCGCTGATAAGGATATACACCACTATGATGTTAGTATATTATGCTCATACTGCTTTTTTTTTTTTTTGAACTCTGATTTTAAGTTTTGATTATTATGTTGGTAAGTTACAATGCGGTATGAATTTCTAGAGGCTGAAAAATTTGATAAATGTTTTCAGGTTTCTATTTCGCCAGAGATCATTTCTAAGAAAGTTTGCAGAGATATTATCAACCTGTTAGTGAAGATGTATCTGGAATCCCAGTTAGACAACCGCATACCTGCTTACGATGGGAGAAAAAGCTTATTTACTGCTGGGGCGTTACCTTTTAACTCCAAGGTTTTTGTGGTTAACTTGACTGATGAAAATAGAGGATCCTCTTCTGAGGCTGATAGGTGAGTTTGCTTCAAATGGGTTAGTAATGCGTTAATATTGTTACTATTTAGTAATATGGTATGAATGGATTGCTGATTTTGTTTCTTGTCACAGGAAAAAGCGTGAGCGGGAGTTTAAGGTTACTATTAAGTTTGCTTCCAAGATGGATCTCTACAGCCTTACTCAGTTTCTCAGTCGCATGCAGCTGGACTGTCCTTATGAAACCATTCAAGCTCTCGACATTGCTTTGAGGGCAACTCCTTCTGAAAAGTAGAGTTATATTTTTTGAGTGTTGTTTATTTGGATTTGCTGATTTTGTGTTTTATGTGGTCTTGTTATAATTGATGAGTTGTGTTTCAGGTATATTGTTGCTGGGAGATCTTTCTTCTCTCCGAGTTTAGGGCAGCCAGGTCCTCTTGGTGGTGGGATTGAGTATTATAGAGGCTTTTATCAAAGCATTAGGCCAACCCAAATGGGGCTTTCTCTTAACATAGGTTTTAGCTCTAAACATTGCTATTATTTATCTGATTGAATAATCTTCAATTGAATCTAATTTGCAGTCTTTGACAAGTGATACTTTGTTTCAGATGTATCTTCAAGAGCTTTTTATGAACCTATTCTTGTCACTGAATTTGTTAAGAAACATTTTAATTTGAATTTTACAAGGCCACTTTCTGATCAAGATCGTGTCAAGGTATTTGTGATTTTTTAATTATGTAATCAATTTAATTAATTAAAGTAACTGAAATCTTATGCTTATATTTTATTTGAGTCAGATCAAGAAAGCCTTGAGAGGTGTTAAGGTAAAACTATCTCATAGTGGGAAAATAAGGAGTTGCAAGGTAACTGGTATCTCGAGAGAGCCACTCAGAGACCTAACGTAAGCAATTTGAAATTCATTTCTATCTTTTTAGTTATTTCTTGAGGCTGGGTGGGTAAATTGTTCCTTAAACTCCTTGATTGAGTTTTATTTTTACATCTCACTCTTTAGTTTGTAATATATAATCCTTGTAGGTTTATGCTCGAAGACAATGCGAGTAGGAAAAAAGTTATTGATTATTTCCATGAGAAATACAATATTGTGTTAAAGCATCCACTTCTTCCCGCTCTCCAAGCTGGACCTGACTCGAGACCTACGTATTTTCCAATGGAGGTTTTCTTCTTTGTACTTTCTCTATCTAATTTATGTTCTTAACAATGTTTTGTTAGACCTGGAATCTGATATGGTGTTTTTATTCCTTGTAGCTTTGTCAAATTGAACCTGGACAGAGATACTCCAAAAGATTGAATGAAGAACAAGTAACTGCTCTTTTAAGGGCTACTTGTCAGCGTCCTGATGAGAGGCGGGAGGATATTAAACATGTATGTTATGTGATAGATTAATATATTTTACAGAAGTTATATTAATGTTGTGATAGAGTCCATGTTTTTTTCTTTAATAGCTGTCCTTTCATTTTTTGATAGATTGTGAAGCAACACCATTTCAACACTGACAAGGTTGCGGAAGAATTTGGCATAAATGTTAGGGAAGAGCTCGCCCTTGTTGATGCTCGGGTTTTGCCTCCTCCGACGGTATACATAGTTTAAGCCTTATAAAATTTGGTAAATTATCTAGATGTGTAATATTTAATTTAATTGTCTTACTGCAGCTAAAATATCATGGAAGTGGAAGTGAATCAAAAATTGACCCTCGAATGGGTCAATGGAATATGATTAATAAGGTGTGAAGTGACAAATCTATTATTTTGAATTAATGCTCTCAAATTCTTGTGGTCTTTATAATACATTACATTCATCCATGTAATAGAGTTTTGTTCTCATTAAATTTTAATTTCACTTGGTCTCTATATATTACATTTATGCATGTGATGAGTTTTGTTCTCGTTACATTCATCATGCGTGTGCTGTTCTTGTACATATGTATTAGATTTGTATTATTATGATTCTCATATCTGGTGTTAGATTTCTTTCATATGACAACGGTTACATTGTTGATCAAGACAATGGTTAGATTGTTGAGCGACCTAGTTGACCAATTCATGTTTCAATGTTACATTTCTGAAATAGTGTCAACCTCTTATTTTGTAGAGAATGGTTGATGCTGGCAAAGTGCAATTTTGGACTTGCGTTTGCTTTTCAAGAATGGACCCAACTCGATTTTGTGCCGAATTGGTTAAAATGTGTCGAAGCAGGGGAATGGTATGTTGTTTGCTTGTATCATTTTATGAAATAGTTATATATATGTGTGTGTGTGTGTGTGTGTGTGTGTTCCCAATAATTTTTGACAATTTTTATCTGTTTCGAGCCTGTACCAGACTTTCAACCCAGATCCTTTGGTACCAATATTCCCAGGGAATCCAAATCAAATTGAGAGAGAGCTTGTTGAACTTAACAAGAAGTGCAAGGCAACACTTGATGGAACAAAGCAGGAGGGAAGACTGCAATTGTTGATCATAATTTTGCCTGATTTTAAGGGTAAATCATATGGTAAGTTTTTTTATCTGTCTAAATCAAATAATAAGGTTCGGTTTTATTTTGTTGAATCAAATTGTTTTGTTTTGCAGATAAAATAAAGCGTGTATGTGAGACTGAATTGGGAATAATTTCCCAATGTTGTCAACCAAAACAAGCGGCAAAAATGAATAAACAATATCTTGAAAATTTGTCGCTAAAGATTAATGTTAAGGTTCAAGTTGTACAGTAAATTTCCGCTTGTTTTGCTGCTTGATTTTATTTCTCCCAAGTTTTAAACATGTTTTTCTTGTCTGTTTAGTCTGGAGGTCGTAATACCGTGTTGAATGATGCATTTGAGAAAAGAATTCCTCTTGTAACCGATATGCCAACAATAATATTTGGTGCTGATGTAACACATCCTCAGCCGGGAGAAGACTCAACTCCTTCTATAGCTGCAGTAAGCTTTGTGTTTTTCTGTTGTTTATACGTAACTGTTTTATGAAATCATATTTAGATATATCACTTTGTTCACTTGTTGATTATTATAAGGTTGTGGCATCAATGGACTGGCCTTGGGTCACAAGATACAGAGGAATTGTTTCTGCCCAGATTCATCGCGAGGAGATAATTCAAGATCTTTTTAAAACAACAGTGCATCCTCAGAAGGGAGTTCAGCCTGCTGGCATGATAAGGTAATTTTGTTAGATTTGTGGATTCCTCATGATGAGACATAGTTGATTTTTCTTTTAATTTTCAGGGAGTTAATCTTGGCTTTCCATAAATCAACTGGGCTTAAGCCTGGGAGGATTATATTTTACAGGTTGGATTTGGTTTTTACAATTGATACATAATGATGTAAATGTATCCGTTTTAAATGATTTATTCTTCATTATTAATTTCTGCATATCAGAGACGGAGTTAGTGAAGGCCAGTTCAGTCAGGTTTTGCTTTATGAGATGGATGCAATTAGGAAGGTATAGCATAGCTAACTATATTCTTTTTATTTGTTTTGATAGTGGCTTAGTGGCTAAACTCGTATTCATGGAGATTGAGTAACTGAGGCCATGCGGGTTTGAACCCGCACTCTAACACATAGCTCTACATCAGTTAACCACTGCCCTGTGCACTACTGAGCAACTCAATATTTAAGGATTGCAGTACACAGTGAACACTGAAACACTGTTTTTGTTGAATCTACTTTGCTGCCTTGTTTTGTAGATAGAATTAAGGAATTTTCAAAGATGTTTTATTGTTGCTTTATTGTTCATAAATATACACCACTAAATTCTGTTTTAAATTTTTTATCAGGCTTGTAGCTCTATACAGGATGGGTATCTACCTAAAGTTACCTTTGTAGTGGTCCAAAAGAGACATCACACTCGTCTCTTTCCTGTCAACAACAATGAGACAGATAGAAGTGGAAATATTATGCCAGGTTTTTTCAAATTAATTCTTGACTGCATGCAACTGGTAATTTATTTTCATTCCAATTTATCTCTTTTTACTGATTTTGTCCTTCTAAATTTTCAAAGGAACTGTGGTAGACACCAGCATTTGCCACCCTAGGGAATTTGATTTTTATCTCAACAGCCATGCTGGAATTCAAGTAATACTAGCTATATCATTTAACTTTATGCCATTGTTAACTATTTGTTGCTCAATTGTCTTTTGACGTTGTGTTATTTGCATTTGGATGTCTTCATTTTGCAGGGGACTAGTCGACCAACGCATTACCATGTGCTGTATGATGAAAATAGATTCAGTGCAGATCAGCTACAAAGTTTTACTAATAACTTATGCTACACGTAATGATATCATTTGTTTTTCTAGTCTTAAATTAACTACTACTGTTTTTATTTAATTTTAGAAGCCTTCTAATACCCTTTTTTCATTCAGTTATGCAAGGTGTACTCGATCTGTCTCAATAGGTTTGTAACTCGATTTCCTTTGCTTGTTTTGTTGTAGGCTATACAAAACTTTAATTTAACTAAAGTGTTGATCCTTGTATGCAGTTCCTCCTGCTTATTATGCACACTTGTTAGCTTTCCGTGCTAGATCCTACTTCAGTGAAGTTGAGAATTCCGATTCTGGTTCTGCAAGTGGTATAAGGAGTACCACCAACTTTGTGGCGACCCTGCCATCTATCTTGGATAACGTCAAAAACGTTATGTTTTACTGTTGATCTTGGTTTGTCGTACAAGCTTCGAGGATAGATTTGGGAGTTCGGATATTTGCCATCCTTTTTTGGATATACAACTTATGCTGCCTTGTGTTTTTTTGGCTGGGCCTTATTTTGTTTGAATATAGGTTAGAATTACTAGACAAGCTTTTAGTTACATGTTTGCCACCATGGGTAGGGGTCTTATTTTGTTTGAATATTGGTTAGATCTACTAGACAGCTTTTGGATGCAGAACATGTTGCCCCCATGGGTTCATGAATATTTTGAAGTTACTCTATATCATGTCTGCCATATCTTACTCTCGCTAGTTTAGAGTTTAGATAAACAGTATTAAATTATATACAACGTTCGTTTTGGAAGAATTTCTACACGGGGCTTTTAACTCACATTTGTTACTGGTCAGTGTGAGGTTTATTATCCGAACGATGAGATTTGACGGTGCATCCTCCAAGATCTTTTACGATAAGTTTTGTTGCAAGTTTACATTTTGAAGTTTATCTTTCACGGCTAGATGACATGGAACCAACCCCATTGAGTCTTGTCCCCTCAATGAAGAACAAAATAACGAAAAGAATGGGAAGCAGCCAACACATATTTTACTTCAATCCCTTTCCATGTCCTCATAAAATGTTTCGCATTAGTAATTTGTCTGCATGATTTTCTGAACATGCTATGAAAAGCAAAACTCTAATGTCAAAAATACAACTCTCTTAGATTGGTTGATTTCTGTTCCTCCACGAAACAATCGTCAGTCTGTTTTGAGTGTTTTAAAGTAAAGAAAATAAACGATAAGATTTATAATTCTTCATTTGTAAACTGTTGATCAACATCTATCTCGATATCAACCGGTTTAACACTGTCCTTCACTTCATCAGGTTTTGCATCATTACTCATATCAGCTTTGGGAAACATATCTGAGTGTACCATATCTAATTCGAACCAAAACATAAAACTGTTAATTTTTTTATACAGAAACATACAAATTCAGAGATGCATCTCTGAAATATATAGCAGGTGCATTCAGAGTTGCATCTCAGAACTCAACGTATATTTTTCTAGCTCAAAAACAAGATTAATGCAATCAATGATGAATGAAATGAGTGAACTTTATTTTAAATTACAACTTCTTTTGCTCCTTTTGATGTGATAAAACACAAAAATGTTGATTTAGAATGAATGTTTTTTAAGGACTTCAGATTATGGATGATGAACGGAGTATGGAGGAGATGATCATGCAAGGTGGGTATATATATTCAATTTTTCACTTGATATTTTTTGGAAATGTATTTTCGAAAATATCACTGAATGATTAAATGATAAATCTAATTGAAAAATACTTAGAAAATGGATTGAGGTGTGTTTTCGGAGATGCGTTTTCGAATTCATCTCAGAAATATTCAAAGGTGCATATTCAAACTAAATTCTGACAAAAATGGATTGAAGTTGATTCGGAGATGTATTTTCAAAAATTTCTGAAGATATTTTTGAATTTTCAAAGATATAATTCACAACATATTAATGAAAAAAAAATTGTCTAAATTTATTCTAGGGCAGACTCAAACCTTCTAAAATATGATTTGTTCTAACTTATTTTCACCCTAGTTTTAATTATTTTTTAAAAATATTTTCTTAAAAAAGATGAACAGACTCTAATATAAAGTTTCAAACTACTTTATTCTCACGTTATCTAGAAAGGTCCGGGATCCCCAAATGAAATAAATTATTGCCGAATTAATAATTTCTTGGATATTTGTCTACGATTTATCACTTACGAATTTATATCTATAAATTAAAAGAAGTAATTTGAAATATAAAGTTCTGGTAAAAAATTCAAAGCATCAAATATTCATCCTCAGTATTTGGTTTGACGAGATTATTTTAAGAGATCTTAAAAATACTTTAGTTGATTTCTTTAATATAAAATATTTGAATTTTAGAAAAGGTTATTAAAAAACCACTTAAATCTAATGTTATTTTAAAAAAATAATTAAAAGTCAATGAAAAAAATATTATCGACCTTGTAATGACAAACTTTCTCTTTAGAGATATTGTAAATAAAGATTACAAGTCCAAATCTCATGACATGGAATGGACAATTAATATGACTGATTTGACATTGACAAAACGGTTCGGAGTTAAGATAAATCAAGTTTGATAATGACAAACTTTTTTACGGTAAAAAGAAGTAAATAGTCATCATTGTTTCTATCTTGATGATTATTCCAAATTAGTGTTAAATTTAATAGTAAAAGTTATGATTTAATTCTGGTAATTACAATTAAGAGGGGCGATAACCATTTGATGTCATAATTAAACTCGAAACCAAATTAAATTGGGTGTGAAAACAAAAATAAATTGACAAGAATGATTATAAATTCGCACATGAAAATTTTGAGTTTGAAATAGGTGAATAAGTTCTACTTAATAGTATTGACATCTGCAATTGCGTTAAACTTTGTATTTACTTTTTACTAATTGTTTTTGTATTATAATGAACAGCTCTACTTTGATATAATTTTTTTAAAAATATTGAGTTTAAAAGTGAAAATAGGTTTATGAATCATTGTAACATCTCTACTTTAGATATTTAACTAGTTTAATTTATTTAATTTAATTAGATAGAAATATTAAAAATATTAAAAATATTTTAGAGATGGGAGAAAATAGTATTTTATTTAAAATTAGAGATAAATATGTATTTTGAGTAAAGAATTTAGGGTGTGGTGAGATTTAATAAGAATAATAGAATTATTATTTTTATTGAGATGAATGAGTTATTAAGATAATTATTATTTTAATTAATTTAGAGTATTATTTGAATTAAAAATAAAATAATAGAAATAGAGGTTTAGTGAGGGTGTGAGAAAAATTGAGGAGTGAGAAGAGTAATTGAGATATTAGGTTAGAATAAATAGATAAAGTGAGAGGACTTGTGTATTGTGCGTGTAAAAGTTGAAAAATAGGCAAAGAGAGAGCCATATATAGGAGGAATTTGGAGAGCGAGGAAAAATCTCAAAAGGACAATGGTTTTCATCGATCGATAATTTTGAGGTAAGAGGGAACTCTTTACATATGATTGTTTAGGCAGTCAGATAGTGAGGGATCCTTACCCTTTTATCTTCTTCTCCTCCTTATGTGTTTGTGATTGTTGTGTTTACGACCTTGAGCAGTGTCGGGCGACAGAGGCTGCTGGAATTCGGGTAGCGCGGCGGAGGGCGACTGAGGATGTCGGAGTTCAGTCGCACATCGGTTGCATGTGGGTGGCGGTTTAGCATTTTCACGTTCAATTTAGCGAGTTTCAAGTACTTTTGAGTTCTTGACTTTTTGTTACCCTTTTGATAAGTTTAAAAGTCAGATTTATTATGTGAGAGCTTGTTAGAGTTGTTATAGAACTATCAGAGTTGTTTTCGAGATATTTAGAGTTAATCTGAGGAGCTTTAGAGTTAAAGTTGAAGGTATTTGACTCTTTAGAGTTGTTTTGAGTTATATTATTACTTGAGTAAGGCCGTCAACCATAATAGTTATTTTGATTTGTTGTGAATTTGTAGAGTAAGACTTTATGAGTTGTTAGATTTAAAATTGAGTAACTCTCACATACCTCGAGTTGAGTTGATAGATTTGTGAGCAATTATTTCTTTTACCTTGTTGGTGGACTGACATGAATAATAATATATTCTTACTCTGTTGATGAGTATTTAGGAATATTATATATAATTATTGAGTTATAATTATGTAATATGTTAAGTTGGACAATTCAGAGAGAAATTATAGTGTTGGCCTTACATTGACAAAATTATTGCTTCAGAGAGGAACCTTGTTGAGTATGAGATACGGGTATTATTTATTGTTGAATATGAGTTATGAATTTATTTGTTGTTGAATATGAGTGTGAATGTGTCATATCCTAGTTTTCACCCATAAGATCCCATATTATTTTTCATTATTGTATATCATCAAGATCACAAACTGGGTTGCCTTTTAGCCCTCATTTCTTTAACTCTTGTCTTTATAGAGATCATCAAGCACCCCCCTTGTGTATCTTTCTCTTTTGTGTTTATATACTTTATGTTACACTAACCGCTAATAAAAATATCAAAAGTATGTATTGTTTCCTCTTGTTTATTGTGCAAGTTAGATTTTGAATCAAGAGCATCAAGCATGGTTCCCTCAACTAGAGTTTGCTTTCTCAAAATCAAAGTGTGGTCAATCATTGATTCTCAAGGGCTTAATAATTAAATAATGGCTTCTAATATCAAAGCATAAAGTCTCAAGAATCATTCAATCTTATCTTGATTAAGAGTACCTCAAATATTGATAGTTTGTTTCTCAAGAAACTTCAAAGGTTCATGTATTTATTTCCATGCCTTCTTCAACAAGTTACCTCAAGCCTTGACAAAGTTTAATTAAAGAAAATTCAAAGGCCCATCATGTTGGGTTATATGATCATCAATGTGTTTTAAAATCTAAGAAAAGCCCAAGTTCACAAGAGTGATTAAAAGAGGTTTGACCTAAAAAGTCAACATTTCAAGTCCAAGTTTAAAATATCATAACTCACTCATTCTTCAACATTTTTTAGCGATCCTTTGGACATAAAAAGTCGGATGACATTTGTGATACGGTGGGAAGAACTGACTATTTTTGGAATGCTGGTTCGCGTTTTGCGTTTGTTTTCGCAAAATATCGCGGTAAGCAAGAGTCGCCACCGACTTTTATTTTATCCAACAAGGAAAGGAAAAAAGTACAGAAAAATTCCTTTTTCGAGATATTTCTGAGCACGGGGGGTAAATTATAGAAAGGGAAGGTATTAGCATCCTTTCTATCCGTGGTTATTCACGGGCTCTTAGGTACCTGCTCATTGTTTTCAAAATTGTTTTCTTTGTGTTTGTGGGTTTGAAAAAGTTTGGGTTTTAACTTCGATTTAACTCTTGCTTCTGTCCTCAAGAGTGTAATGAAGTGTTTTTTTTGAAAACTTGTTCGTAAAAGTGTAAGTGTGAAAAGGTTT